CTGATAATCTTGATAAATAAAACTTGTTGAAATATAGAAATTTATTAAAACAATACTTGATATTAAAATGACTTGTGTGCACACTTGTACGGTCAATCGCGAACTGGTCTAATAAGTAAAGCGTTGAATGCGCAAAGAGTAAAATTGCAATTATACAAATTCATGTACTTTGTACAGGTATATTTGTACAAATTTTGTTCTTTCATAGTACTGGAAAATAATGCCTTCGATAAGAAAACTTCAAGTTTCTATATTTTATTTGGCTTAATTCAGGTCTTTCTAGAAAAAGTTGTTCTTTTAAAAAGTCTATACAACAGACAATAATGTACACAAAACATTAATAAATAATTGTATATAGAACAAACCTTATAGAAGAAACACAAATTTGTCTTTATAAGGCTAGTTTAGTCTTTGCATTTCCACTCTAATTGGTATTGTCATAGAATGTAATTATTTATGTTTAGTTCTTCTCAAAAAGGCGCCATTTTAGTTTTAAACGCGCCATTGTAGTTTTAAAGGCGCCATTGTAGTTTTAAAGGCGCCATTGTTGTTTTAAAGGCGCCATTGTAGTTTTAAAGGCGCCATTGTAGCTTTAAAGGCGCCATTGTAGCTTTAAAGACACCGTTGTAGTCTTAAAGGCGCCATTGCAGTTTTAAAGGCGACATTGTAGCTTTAAAGGCGCCATTGTAGCTTTAAAGACACCGTTGTAGTCTTAAAGGCGCCATTGCAGTTTTAAAGGCGCCATTGTAGCTTTAAAGACACCTTTGTAGTCTTAAAGGCGCCATTGTAGTTTTAAAGGCGACATTTATTACGTATAGGCTCTAAATTGGTCTTATAAGAAGTTCTTTTAAGTTCAGTCCCACGTTGGTCTAGGTTTCTTCCTAAGCAGTGTGTCTTCTGGCGCGATGTGTATCGGGTTGTTGAAGTCCAGCTCGATGTGCTCCGGTATAGTGTCGAAGTAGGTTATGTGGTCGTTCAGGTTGTCTGCAAAAATAATATTAGAGAATAAGTTATAAGATTTTTGGATCAAAATGTTTATGCCGTAATATGCTGCCATAGGTATTTTTAATCAATGATTAGGTCGTCTCGATCAAAGTGATACGTCAGTCTTACAAAAAACTGGGGTCGAGTAATGCTTACGTTATCTTTCGCCGTGTAAGTGCGATTACCACATACCCAATTCCTTCCCCTATCCTCAATTTTCTAATCGAAAAAGGCCAGCAATGCACTTATAACTCCTTTGGCTTGCCGTGTGTCCACGAGCGGCGCTAATTACTTACCATTAGAGTTACTTCTGCTTACTCTTTCCAGTACCCCATAAAAATGAAATTCGTGGTCTACTTACGTGTCAAATTAAGTCTAGCAATAATGTCGTCGAGGTGAGTCTGGTCGAGGCTAGCCTTGACAGTGCCCCGCTGCGGGCGCAGACTGCGGCGGTGTCGCCCGGAGCGCGGGGCGGGCGGGGGCCCGGTAGAGCGCGAGGTGCGCCAGGAGACGCTGACGTTGGCGCCGCGGCCGAGCAGGGGCAGCGTGAACACCATCTCCGACACCGGGGTGTTGTCTGGACCGAATTCCTGGACCAACATTTTGTATTAGCATAATTGACTCGCTCCGTTTTAACATATAATAGGCCAAAATTAATAATTCAAAAAATAACTAAAAACGACATTTATTAAGAGTCAAGTTTGCATAGGGCGTCAGTTCAGCACGTGTAAGACTATAAGTATGGTTATTTAATACCTTTGCCTTGCTTACTCCTTCGAGCAATATAAGGACTTAATATTGTACCTCGAGGTTGTTGGAGATAGTTGCAAATTGTTAGATTAATGGCTCATACGTTGTGTATATCGTGTTGTTACACATTTATACCTTCACTAATTCATGTCTTCAGCAATCAGGTAAATTAGAAGAAGTATTAGTATTGTATGTTGTACATTCTGATATTCTTACCAAGCATTTTCCACTAACGCAGTAGGAAGCATTTCTCTTCCCACACGACGTTCCCAGCGGGAACCATCCCTCATGTCCATTGACTAGGTAGAACCGATGGGAGACGCGTTCGTCCTGGCACGCTATGCGACACGGACGGTCCGGATCCTCTGCAGCATTAGGTAATAGGTAAGAAATGGATTACTCATTCCAAATAATTGCGTGTTAAACTTTGTAATTTTATTTTTCTCTTAGACTGCGACTGAAAAGATTAGGTGTCCACAAACGTGCAATTCATACAAAGAAATGTAAACGCTCGTCTTAGGTCTTACGGCCGAAGAATATAATATTGAAAGTAAATTTAAAACATATATTAAGCGCGAATTATGTAAACAAGCGTTCTACAGGGTGATTGATTATCTTGAGGATAGGAATGCTTGGCAGCGTGTTGGTTCGGCTCCACTGGACAATACTCAAATGTAGTCAGTACCTAGTTCAGATTACGATAATAGGTAATTTAACACTTTGATTCCGATGAAGGCAATCTATTTTTCTTGTGGCATCGAGCATTCCTTTCTTTATTTAAACAAGAGTATATTTTTTATTTTTTTCTTGTATAGAAGCACTATTTTATATGGATTGTCAGTATACATATGTGAGGACCATGTCAGACTTAAGATATTTGTTTTCTCTTGGTTTTGTTTTTTTTTTCTATTTTAGTATGTTCTGTTATTTGTATGTTGCTTCAGGTATGTCTTTACATTATTCTCACATGTGTGTACAATATTGGAATATGTATCAGAGCAATGTAAAACAGACTTTTTTTAAAAGAGTAACGAATGTAGTTTCTTGCTCGTTCTTCTCCACTCGAATCGACATTTTGGAACGAGCGCCTAGCTTCACTGACGGACAGACTGACAGACTATTATATATCTCATATTTGTTGACGTTTCAAAAGTACCATATTATGGTTTAATTGAAATAAATGCTTTTGAGTTTGAGAGTTTATTCTATTCTAATTTTGGGTATCATCCCGAAGGTTTTATTATACTTACCCAAAGCTGGTGATATTTGCATGCCCAATCCGGATAGCCTCCTCACTCTGTCCTTGTACTTGGTACATACCATAGTTGCATATTGGTAGGGTGATTTTCTTTGGGTACACCCCTGCAGAAAATGAATTTGTTGTTAGTTATTATGGAGCAACAGCGAAAGGATCAAAGATAATATGCTAAGTTTAAATTGACGAAAAGTTCATTTTCAAAGATTTCATTCCTTTAACCTGGTCCGAAAGCTACCACATCTCCAGTGACTTTCTGCCTTGAATATGTTTTTTAATTTGCAAATGAACAATTTTCGTTACACGAAATTGTTTGTAGCCTATTTTTACTTAAAAATAAATCTCTTGGTCAGTAAAATCGAAATACTCACAGAATCAGGTCTACTATCAGGAGAACATAACTGTATGCTAGTCAAAGGTCGGTCCCTGGTGGTGGTAGTGACGAGCCTGACTCCGGCACCTGGCGAGATGCAGTGGTAGTGGCAGCCTGAGGCTGGACGCCACTGTCCACCTACTGCACGACGCCATGTGCCTGATGTCTTGGTCCTGGAAAGTTGTTGTTGGTGATTTTAGCTGGTGTTGAAGAATATATCTGTGTGATTATTGAGTAGAAAAAGTGAATTGTCATGGTCATCATCATGCAACATACGTTAACTGCTGAGAAAAGATTACCATTTTAAGAAAGAGTTTGCAGTAACCCCTTGTTTGTCAGGTTGTGTCGTGAGGATCGCAGTTAAATTGGTTACTGAAAGTGAAAAGGATACTGTTGCGGTCTTTTTAGGACCTTTATCTATCCTTGGATCTCCAGGATTTTGGAAACAAGGTTTAGATACTTTTTTAAATGGGACAAGCCCGCCACAACCTGCCAAAACCGCTGCAACTCCTGTAAGCCAGGATCTACAGTAGATACAACCATGAAAACACCGGAACATTGAAGTCCGGCGCGTCCCAGGGACATGAGTAACTGTCTTGGTTCCCGCAACGAAGTGAATCAGAAGATATTATAAGAAGAGAAGAAGAAAAAACTATAGTTTCCACTTCCCTCGGTGAATTACTGCAGGAGACAGAATGAATTAAGCCTAAAGGCACAAAGAAGAGACTGTACAACTGGGTGAAGCCTATTAAGGCCTAAGGTTTAGATACTGTAAAGATTTGTAGATTTTTGAAAGTTGCGTAGGAAAAATTATACAACTTACGATGTCGTTGGTGGCGTGGCTGTTCTCAATGCTTCCCATTCGCAGTCACTTGGCTTCAACGAAAACTCTGTGTCCGGGTTCGATGAGCATGTGAATTTCTGAAAGGAAAATTGGTTAATTTCGTCCACGATACGAATCACTGAATTACACTATGTAGTTGATGATGGAGTTCAAAGTGATCTGTAGTAGTACAAAAGTAATAATATCCTTAACTTACTTGACAAATACCACTGATGCAAAACATAGGTGAGACATTAGAGCAGGCTGTACCATCTGGTAGACTCCAACCACGGGACTTATAGCCCCCGCCACGAGTATCACACCAAACTGCACATGCACTGCTCACATCTGTAACAGATTTAAAAGCTACATTTAGTAATATCTGTGCGAGACCTTTACTTGCTTAATACTTTTTCAAAACCTTACCATCAGAATCGATTCTCTGCAGTCCAGTTCCAATGAGGTCCGGATCAACATCACGGGCCCTCAGACAGATTTGGTCGGCGAACTCCCGCACTGTCATTCTCGGTACATTACTGCACTGTAATAGAGAATATTCCATTAGTATCTTCTTCTTCTTCTCTTTTCTGGCTTTAAGATAAAGGTATGAGTGTGTTACCTGCTGAGCATGACACGATTGGTACTTCTTGTCGTGTCCTACGCAGTGATTTTTTCCATTTTCATGTCTGTAACGGGAATTCATTGATTTGGTTATTTAATGTAGCAAATATTCCATATACTAAAAGTATAATGGTTTTATAAAAATGTTATCAGGTATAGCTTCATGTTTTTTATCGACTTCAAAAAAAGGAGGAGGTACTATGTTCGGCTGATTGTTTTTTTTTTTGTTTGTTCGCGAATTTCCTCGCCATTTGTGAACCGATTTCGAAAATTCTTGTTTTGTTTGAAAGGGTATGTTCCCGAGATGGTCCCATTTCCATGAGATCAGGATCTGATGATGGGATTCTAGGGAAACCGAGGGGAACTTTAGAAAATTCTATGGGCGAGTAATGCGTCTAATATTTTTTTTAATTACGATTTTTAAACACTACAATTCGTTTAGTGTATATTCCACCAACCTTTCATAATCAGAAAATACTCATAATCATAAAACATCCTCAAGAAAAGGTCTTAAAATGATGACTTGTCATGTTTAGTTGCATACCTTGCTCTATTGCATCGTCGAGTAGCAACAGCGACTCCTGCAGCAGCCGGTGCATGCGTGTCATCCACGAGGCAGGCTGACGCACACTCCGACCAGCCAGACCAGCGACCCCAAGCTCCTCTGACTACTGTAGACCCTTCACGTTCCACGCATTCCCCTCCTCTGCAGTACTGTTGGATATAGTGGTTAGCAAGTAGGGATGGAGATTTTTTTTTCTTTATGGTAATGGGAAAGATGTGTATTAAGCAGTCTTCTTATATTAGCGTTCTTCAATTTATATTAGTAAACCAAAATAATGTCTCCATGAATTTCCACCGTGAAGATTTGGGAGTATTCTTGAAGGTCGGATTTCTTCTCATAATCCATTTCTAGTAGATTATCAATATTTTTTTTACTTACCATGTCCTCGCCACACCGTGTTCCTTCTAGAGCTGGATGCGAAGTCCAGGTATACCTCTCACGTTGACAGTGAAGGTCCCTACAAATATCTTCCAGGCTCTGAGCTCCCGAATGTCTGCTGCCTCGTCCATACTTTAGCATACCTGAAAATGTAAATTCTTGTTTTAATGGTGAATCTTTTACCAGTCCACATGGTGTTCAAATTGATTTCAAAATAGTTTCGTTTAAGAAGTTCGAATCGACAATTTCAGTATAGTTATTTCGGAAGATTTTCTTATTACTTACATTGTTGGTCGGCGTCAAATCTTTCCCCAGGTAGAATTCCTTCAGCGCTGTGATCCAACTGGCCGGCTGAGTTTCCGTGGTCTAGGAGACATCGCGATTGTACTGTGCTGCAAGAACCAGAATTTGATTACATTCAGTCGCAACTTATTTTAACCGATTTGTACGAAATAGAATAGACATTTTAAATTGCTAGGTATTTTCTTATACACTTACTCTAAAAACTTCTGAAGATAGTTCTTGCTGCATTGCGACCAGGTGATCTTACCACTACCAAGCGTAGGGCTCATGATGTACGCGCTCGGGTCACAGCCGTTGTCGGCCAGCGGTCCATCGTGACGCATACCAAGACTGTAGATAAATACAAAGTTTATATTTATTTGTAAATTGAAGAAGGCCAAGAAAATTGAGTTGGGGTGAACGAACTATTTTGCGAAAAATATATGCAGAAGAACGATGACAAAGACAAGTATAAATAAGAAAATAACTTTTATTTATTACATCATGTGATGACGTAATAATAAACTCACCTGAATTAATTGGCACTACTGAATGCCTATTGCAGAGATTGAAATTTTCAAGCTTTTCAATACCAATCGAAGACAAACCATAAGATCAAAGATCATATTACTTAATCGAAACTTAAATATTATTTTCACGGTTTAACTGTTATGCTAATAGCATAGATAAGCATTTTTCCAACATTTTAATATTTTGCTTCATGGTAATATTTATATTCTTTCTTCTTCCCCTTTCTTCTTTTTTTTACCCATTTCTACTTTTCGATACTCAATTAAACAATATAGCTCTTTATTGCTTCCTTAGAGTTTGGGAATCTAGCTAGTATAAATCGGTCGCAGTTTCTTAATAGACAATATTTTTTCTTTAACCTAACTATTATGCGAACGCCATTCTATTGCACAGTTATCACCTAAAAAATCTTAGAAACCGCAATGATTACAGAAATATTAGAAACTCGTGAACCTAAATAGTTTATGAACAATAGATTCCAATGTTATGGACATTCAAATTGTTGAGAAGCGAAGTACTTATTACCTGTAATTAAAGACTAAATTTAGTTTTCTTTCATGTAAGTTTAAGTCGTTTTGTGACTAGATAAATACCTATTCAGTGTTAAGCATTCTACATTGTGTTATGTTTAGACCATCTTTATTTGTGGTAATTATTTTAGCAGACTGTCTGTCGAATTTTGCTAATTGAAAATACTTCTGTTCTAACTACATAAGAACATCTGCGAAAGTATTTTTGTGTACTATTCGTCATTGAGAAGGTTAACTCAATGACGGATCTAATTCAAATTGTAAACTTAGATCGTATATTATTCATCCCTCGTAGATTAGTAGTGTGTTAGATAATTGGTCTTAATAAATTATTTCTGATGAACCTTTATGATTTATGATAAGTGTCATGGTGACCCGGAGATTTAAAATTTGCTTCTCATACATAAGGGTGCGGGTTCGAAACCTACCAACGGTAAGTACACATGTGACTTTTTCCGAGTTTTATGTACTTTCTAAGATTATTTAGACACCACTGACAAACGGTCAAGGAAAAAAACATTGTGAGGAAACTTGGGCTTATAATTTCTAATTATAAGTTTGAAATCACCAACCAGCATTGAGCAAGCGTGGCGATTAATGCTCAAACCTTCTTCGTGTGAGAGGAGGCTTTGCTCAACAGTGGGCATTTATAGGCTGTTGACGTGTGTATTTATAATGAACCTTCGTAACTTAAAAGGGAAGATAGAAAACTTAAAATAAGAACAGAATCAAAGCTGTAATGTTTAGGTCAGCATCGTAGAAGTTATCCTTGTATTGTATAGTTTTTCTATACGTCTGCACAAAGCTATGCATGTTCATGTAAATGCTAAAATAGATAAGAGTTATAAGAGAAAAAGGGTGGAAACTTACTTGTGTCCAATTTCATGTGCAACAACGTAGACACTTTCAAAGTGTCGTCCTTCGTTGACGGTACAACTGCTAGTGACAGTGCACATTCCAGCTACTGGGGCCAATCCTGCAAAATAGGTCAAAATGTTGGAATCCTCTCTAGGAAAATGTTCTCAAAATAAATTGTCCAGGGATAAAAATGATAATAGTATCGAGCTGTAGTATCTCTTAGAAGGTATATTATTTTAAATCAGATGTCTTATATCATCCCGGTTGACCTGATGTTGAAACAGGAAATTCGCTTTAGATGATGATAATATTACAGAAATAAATAGACAAAAAACATAATGACTAAATCTCATACATTTATCTGAAATAACTACTTTAGAAAACAGTTCTTAAACACTTATTTATGAAGGAAATTCATTTCTAACAGTGCATTTCGTGACAAAAGCATTAGATGTTATATTAATACTGGCTAACCATGTAATGACTGTAATAAGTCTCCAGTCTATTAAGTTGCCACATCAATTTGATGTGGAGCGTCACTTGATGAAAGCCTCACGAATTGTAATAGCAAAACTTATAGGCGTATTATTGAGGTGTTATAATCTACTTATAATGCTATTATATTATTGTTCACATAATAGGCGATTTTGTTAATGGTTTTAATTTTGCTAAGTTAAAATTATTATGACTGCCTCATTGGCTGAGTGGTCGCAAGTGCGACTGCCGGGCAAGGGAGCTAGGGTTAGATTCCCGTGTCGGGCTACGTAGTATTACTAGGTTTTTAAAAAAAATCTCAGTAGTAGCACGGAGTCTGGAATTGTGCCCGGTATATGGCAATAGGCTCACCCCCTATTACATGGGACTCGTAACATAAATAGTGAAAAGTGGGTGTTACATTGTACAGTGGCATAATGTACGCCTCTGCTTACCCCTTCGGGGATAAAAGGCGTGATGTTTTGTTTATGTTATGTATGTTAAAATTATTATTAGAAGAAAATTACTGTCGTTTAAATCTAACTGTGATTTTTCAGGGAAGTTTTATTTGGCTACCTAGATTTAGATAACAGTCGTTTTAGGGATAGTCTAAAATTGTGTATATCCTATACGAATACGTAACCAAAATATAATATTTCAACTTACCCACAACTTGACTGCTAACTTTACCATTCTTGTTAACAACATACAGGTCTAATCCAGTCAGTATCAGCGCATGATCCCAATGTAACGGATCATTATCTCCAGGAGGATTCTCTAGTCTTTGCCAAGTGCAAAAGTTACTAAGAAACCTGTCTATATCATGCGGTCTTTTCAAATTAGCTGGGTCTTCGTGTAGAATCTCCAGTCTTTTCAATATGAAATTCACTGGTCTACCCAATGAAGGATCGTGGTAGATCAATTGTACTGCATTTATCATGGCTAGCACGAATCTCACTAATTCCCTTTCTGTGTCTTTCGGGAAATTTATTGTCATGTGTTTGTATAAGTCTCTATCTACAAATACTGCTGTTTCCACAAAAACAGCTGGCAGTATCGCCCTTCGTTGCCTTGGCGCACCATTCGATAGTTTTTGTATAAAATCTGTAATAGTTTTATTTCTATGTGCTAAATTTACTTTGAAGCCTTCTAAATTATTATTTACATTGCTTGGGGCTTCTCGTTTTCTTCTGTGTTTTTTCCATGTGGTTGCTGGTTGTGGGTCATCGATTATATTATCTCTTTCTATACATGAGTCGTCTTGATCTTTGTTTTCATTCATTTGTTTTTTCACGATCACGTGTGCTTTCGCGTGGTCATCGTGAAATCTGTCTGGCAGTGGATGTATGAAGTAGTAAGTGTCGTTGGATCTCACTAATCCTCTCTACAAGAGAATACATAATTAGACGAAAGTTGAATTAAAATTTCACATGATTGTGCCTAGAATAAATTGTCAGCTATTAAAATTTCTTTGGCCTAGATGTCTCGGATGATGGAGATGACAACGGATGTAAGTGTTAAAAGCTTTTACTACTAATTGTCGAAAGAATTTATATTATTTTCTTATTGTCGTTTTGCTGCCTCGTCACACGCATTCTCACTTACGAGTACTGAGTATTATTATAATTTGCTATTTCGGCTTTGTGCTAGGCAAATATTAATAACATAATTGACCAAAGGTGACCGTCACCGTTACTTTCAGTGCTTCAAATTATCTTCAAATGTTCAACTAAAATGTGTTGGCTTTACATAAAACGCTAACAATGAATAACTTACCACATCATCACAAACATACAACGCTGCATTATCTCCCTTATAATAACACAAGTCCACTTCTTCATCAGCATGCTGATCCAACACCACTTCTGTGTTATTGGACCACCTCTTCATCAACAGGAACTGAGGGTCCAGGAAACTGTTCCTGGGACTTAATTTGATGTCCAGGTGCTTTTTCAGCCCGACTAGATCCTGGTTGTCGTATAGTAGTGAGCGTTTACGACGTTTTGGCTGCTTGAGATGTGCTACTTCGAATTGTGCTTCTGTAAAAGAATAATGTTTTGGATGAACGTGTGATACTTTAGTAGATGGTACTTTGTAGTTATTGGCGAATCTTACGTATGGCTATAGATATATTGTTACTTCTTGGAACTAAGAAAAAAACCTTTTTCATGGGATAAGCCGGTAAATGAGCAGACGGATCACCTGATGGTAAGCAATCGGCATCGCCCATGGATATCCGGAACACAAGTGGCGTTACAAGTGCGTTACCGGCGTTTTAAGGCTTAGGAATTTGAGGATTGTTGTAGATTCAGGGATTGGGGTGATTGAAGAAGAGGGGGGGGGATGTAATTGGGACCACGTTATCACTCCGGTCGAGCCAGTCAACTCGTGACGAATTATAGCACTCCCACACATTTATAACTGCCAAATAGTAGTGCTGCATGATATACAAGAAGGCAGGATTAGGTGTACTAAGTGATTTTGTTCTTTTAGAAACCAGATTTACTTGTTAGCATTCTAAGTTCAATAACACACGCTCAAAAATATCTTTAACTAGGCTGTATTTTCTCACTCAAGAAGTGAATGCATCGAGTGGCATATGAATGCATAATAAATATCCAGTAACTATCGATGAGGTGCAAGGCTTTCTGTAAATGTAGTTTCTCGCACGGCTTGTCAACACCTTTAATTTACCTTATTGGAGTTCTAGCTTTCGCGGTATCCACTAGGAACATGTTTGAACATTAGTATGCGAATCATAATTACTTTCTTTCTTTCGTTACGTATTGATGCCTGACTAAGGTTGGGTTCTGCGAAGTCTTATTAGTCAGAGGTGGTTTCATCATGTTAGTGGCAGTTTGAGGTAGTTTTAAACTTTTAACTATGTGAAAGAATCTTGTGTGAGTAATATTGTTTGCAAATAGTGCCATTAACTTATCCAAATTTACTTCGTAGTTAGGTACTCAGATCGTCATGAATCACATGATGCTATGATTAATCGGTGAACGGTAAAGTAGAAAGAAAGAGACCCAGAGCCCGGCGTCTTATACGGTGGTCTGAACAAATATCCAAGGAGCTGGAGATACGCATGAATGTTGCAATGCATCAAGCAACGGAACAAAAAGTGACGACATCTAGTGAACAAAATCAGAGCGAGTCAAGAGTCAAGAGAGATGTCATCGATCAGAAATAAAAACACTAATTACGGAACTTCAAATGTGCTCACAATGATGCTTTCCTTCGTCGTCTATCAATATCTAAGCTATAGGTACTTTTAAAATATAGGTACTTTGTTACTAAGTATGCTCATGCTCAAGATACAGCCTTGTGATAAAACCTAGACTAGACTAAATAATTCAAAATTACGTATGCCCCACATAAGAAGGTCAATAATTCTATAAAAAATACATGATCTTGAAAAATTTAGGTTACATAAAGCACTAGATAGATAAGGCTAATATTCAGTCTAGTTCTAAATTAATTATTTTAATGGTAATTGTGGGAAATTATCATAATTCGTACTTACCGCTAGGGTTGGCACCAAATAGGAATATTTTTTCTGATTCAGTCAGGTGCTCTAGTAGCTGCTTCGAGTGATCCTGTAACAATTGAAAGATTTTGTTACTTTAGTGTCTGTCTGTTAAAAATATAGAGGCATAAAATTTTCGGATTCATTCAGATAACGAATAAACAAAAGGTTACATAACAGATGCTATGAACGGCTTTATTACGGCGAGCAAGGGTAGCTCGCCGTCCGACCAGAACTAGACCTGAGCGTACGGCGCGTCGCGTTCCGCGCGCACCTCAAAGAGCCATCAGACCACCACAGATGGGGCCCAGTAGGGCTGATGCCCGATACGAAGCCGCGGAAGGCCCGGTGGTTTTTAGTCAGTAAGAGTGTGATACTCCCTCTCGCCTAACTCAAGGCGGGAGAATTCATTGGATGATTTTCGGCCCCCCAAAAAAAAAGTATACATACAAAAACGTAGAGGTATAACAGAAAATAACGAACGGTTACTATAAGATAAAACTTCTTATAAACGCATATATTCAGGTCACAGGTCATACATACATACCAATGAAAAGAAACTTGTCTAGATAGTGTACCTACATGGACATGTGTTATTAGAAAAGTTGTACTAGAAAAGTTGACTAAAGAAAACTCGATGCTGAGATTCCTTGCTATTACTTGGTATTTTTAAGCCCTGTAGCCACGGCAGATCGCAGGGTAGAATGCTTTTGTCGCCTTTTATATGGGGCGACTTTTGACCACTATCTCGCCTGGTGGTAAGTGATGATACAGTCTACGATGGAGCACGTCGTCTCATAAGCAACCTAATCACACAGGACTTGAAGACACCCAGGTTATACCCTTCAGGAAATACAGACTCTGTCAAAGAATTCCACTTAGCAGTACGCACAAGGAAGCTTGATGCGAAGCGCTTCGTGCATCACTTTATCGATTTTTTTACCGATTGAGGGATTACACATTTGACAGAGACCTGGCATCAGTGTTCTCTAATAAATCTGAACCTGATTTAAACTGTGATATCGATCCTAATCTGTTTACCAGATATGGAGATTACGGCTTATCTTCTGTTATAGTATTAAGGTTCACTTTTGCTTGCGGGGATTTTATGTAAGCGAAATATGTGGTTGAATTGCGCTGATTCATTTACGACTGGTTTAAAATTATGGATTCTTAATTCTTATGATAGCACACACACACACATGCAATCATACTTAATAAACATACCTACATATATAAACATATTCTAACAATACCTTCTTATGTTAAGGAAGCTCACAGTCTTCATGACAATGATTTAGTACACAAAGAGCAGCATTAGAGTGCAGAAGAAAATACCGAACAAAACAAATAAAGTGGAAGGAAGTGTGAATTATCCACACAGTACCAGTGTTTCATTATAAATAATATTAGTTAAGAGCTATTGTGTCCACCTCCATTGGCCATGCACAGCCTCGACACGTTATTTTTGACAATAGATGCTTTTCGCACGAAGTTTTGTGATTAAACGGATCTTAATTACAGTTCAAGTTAGGAGCTGTGGGCGGGATATTAAAGTTGTATTAGCAAGCGAGTATTTGATGTGGGAAAAACTAAGGGCTTGTTGCCATGGGAACATTGCATTGGGAACTATTATTATGTCATAGGTTCTGTAAAGGAGGACATCATCATCATGTCAGGCACACGACGTCCACTGTAGAATCCACATAAATGTATGATAGGAAGGAAAATAGGCTATGCATTATTTGTAGTACCAATAGTGGTTACCAATACCTTAACTGATGCCAAAGATATCTTTACACCTTCCAGCGTAACTCTTACCCTATTACTATTTGACCTTGCAAAAAAATTATTAAAATCAGTTCGGTAGTTTAAGCGTATAAGCGTAACAGTGACTCAAAAGAACTAAACAATTTTACTTTCATTTTTTTCTATAATTCGTCTTTCGCGTATAGTTTAGACCAACCGCTGAATAGTATTGTTTATTATGCGATTAGATACTGTTTCTTTCGATGGTTGAGCTGCAAGACGTTTTTTATAACTTTTGTTTACATCATTATAAGCTAATGTTTCTTTATTATTCTTTGCAAATTTTAAGTTCCTCTTGACTTTTACGATTAATTGTCCTCGGCTTTCGATTCGGGAAGTGAATTTTGTTATTTTGTACGCATTGTCTAGTAATCGTGAGCGTGATGAGCTTAAGGTTGTTTGATATTTTAAATCTGGTAAAGGATAAATATTTTAATTTCAAGTTGTGTATCTTCAAGTCCCGAATGAGTAAGTTACTTATAAACAGGTATTCAGTCATTGGCCACACCATCTCTTATGACTTGGCGAGTAATAAAGAAAATTAAAATCTTTTTAGTAAGTTTGACATCTTTTACAGCATCATCTATTTCTCGTAGACTCTGTTCTCTATAAGGTTCAACAAATTAATAAATACCAGCATTTATAGGAGCATTCCTATACAAACTATAGTTATTGACACTCCTTCACTACCTGCAGTACCCGCACAGTCTTTTTGACTTTCAAATGTGTCTGTAATCGTCTAATTGACTTTGACTTAAAAATTCGAAGTCCGGTTTCCACCGTTCAGCTTTTACGAGCCCGTTCAACAATTTAGTTCACTTTCTTTGCTAATTAACTAATTCATCTCATCTTGTTTCCATTCCGTTAATTTTGAGCGTGAAAGTGTGTAATTAAGTTTTGAGCCGTCAGATTTGTTGGTACTTTGAAAAACAACATGGTTGCAGTCATGGATCGGTTGGTACGTTTTTCTTTTTATTATGCAAGGGGTAATAGCTGATTGTGTGTGTTAGATTAAGAAGGGCGTACCTACATATGAATTGTTTTTGATAATTTGTCTAGGTTTTGTTGACTTTGAATTTTAACACTTTTCCTTTTTAGTTAAGTTATCGTCTCGAGTTAAATACAGTTCTTATAATGTTCCCTGTTGGAAAATTTAGTTATTTCTTTTTTTTCAAATAGTATATTGGCCTGTTAAAATAATATGGTGTTAAATATCGCTTGCAACAAAGATTGCTTTCAATTTTTGCTGAACTTTACAGAGAGAACCTTTAAGTATAGATCACCTCATATCAACACCTTATTTTTATTTTACAAACGAAAGTTTACATTGACATTATCCTAACACAATCGTTTTAGTAGTCTCCCAAGGATACAGTTAGACCCATTCACGATTCGTCACGCCTTAACGTGATAGTCGGCGACTTCAGTTCGACACGACACGACGAGAATGCTCAGGCAAGGTCTGGTGATACAGCTGCGATTTTTAGCACGATTGTGTCGTTCATGAATAGGTTGTGTACTTGCATGTTGATGTCAGATTTTTTGTCGATGTCTGTGCGTGTTTTTTTTGGTACTTTTTAAGCGGCAATAGCTTATCAAAGATACAGCTCTATTAATCTTTTGAATTAAGTATGTAAAAGTTCATTGCAGATGTAAATTAAAATAAGACGAGTTGTAACTTTATTTTGTCGCTACAATAGTGTATTTATGTTATAACTAAAGCGTGATATACAAAATTAATTATTATGTTTTTCGGCTTACTGACGTAATTATTTGACGAGGCAAGCCATGGTTTGAAACTAGTCGAGAACCGCGGGTCGTGGAATGCTCTCATGAACATAAGCTTCTAGCGTGGCTTGAAACTCGTCAAGTTCGTCGTCAAATAATTACGTAAGTCAGTCGAAAAACAAAATAACTAAGCTACAATAGTGAATAGAAAAACAGCTATCTTGGCTTCAATTCTTACATCTTCCTAAATTCTTAGGTACGTTTATATGCTGCTTTATGGGTTATCTTTTTGACGAAAAACAGGCATAAAGGTAATGTTTTTAAGGAAGCGGCTGTTAACCTTTTCTTAAACCTCAATCTTAGGTCATGACATGAAAAGACTAAATATCATGGTCATTTAAGTAAACAGTTCACCACAAATATCTAGACATTAGACAAGTACCTTAACTACTTAGACTTGTATAGACATTTTTTATTCTAATATGCAGTCTTTGAAGTGTGTATTGATATTATTTAATGATGATAGTTAGGTAAGTACTTACTTTTTCAATATAGTGATTATTAATATTTTGTAAATAGTAACTACATATACCTGCTTCTTTAGTAAAATTTATTAATGTATTCTACTAAAGCTTTTCGGTTGACTCCTTGCAAATATTATCGGGGCAAGCCATTACCCAACTTCTAGGTCTTTTCAATGAAGATTCTACTATTGTTGTACTATACTTCTATTGCGATTTGACTATCGGTCAAAAATTGGCGACCGTATAATAAAAATAATACATTTTTATTATACGGTCGCCAATTTTTGTAGTAAGTAATAAACGACTCAACTTTCTTTATAAAGAAAAACATCTATAAACTCATGACGGCGTTAGAAATCTCCTCATCTCGGTAAATTCAAAGAAAATCCCCATTATGCCAGACTACCACCTTTGTTAGTCCAAAAGCTGCAATTAAAAGGCTGAGTGCCGATGCGAAACGAAAAATCCGAGATGTTTCGCACACAATACGCGAAACAAAGACGTACAGACGGACAGACAAGTCTTTATATTAAAGTTCCGGGTTTTTATTGTAATTTTAGCCTTTTGAGGATAAATTTATCACTGCTGGACTGTGTAGATCATCGTTTAGATAGGTGCCAACGTCTTAATTTAGTTTTTGAGTTTTGAATGGAAGGAGCGAATAAATTGAATTTGACTCCTGAGAATTTATATTCTAACTTGTTCTGATCTGGATCTGTTCCTTAGGATTGTAGTGGTAATTTAGATTCATCTACCAATAACATTATTCTCTTTATAAAATTATTGCAGTTCTAAATATTTTCTTAATGAACAATAATTATACAAAATTCTAGTATTATCATAGCGTCATTCAATGGTAAAATCTCTTTGACCATATTTTTTTATGAAATAAAGAACGAACAGGATCACCTGATGATAAGCAATCGGCGCTGCTCATAGACACCCAAAACACCAGAGTTACGAGTGCGTTACCGGCCTTTTGGGGATTAGGAATTTGAGGATTCTTGGG